CAAAAATGGACGATCTACACATGTACTTGTCAACATCATCCTCTTCTTCGTCTTCATCTTCCTCAAATTCTTCAGATTCAAATCCCAATAACCCATTCTCTAATGAGAACATTATGGAATGGTTTCTTGATGATTCTATGTCAAAAATGGTCGATGAATACGTGGAATTTGTGGATGATGCCTCTTCATCAACCTGTGAAAGAAGACCAAGAAGGTACATTGAAAGGGGCCGTGAAAGTGGACACCAACGACTGTACGCTGATTATTTTTCGGAGAATCCCACATTCACCGAAGAAACATTTAGACGAAGATTTCGTATGCGAAGGAGCTTATTTCTCCGCATAGTTGATGTTGTCATGCACAAAGATCCATACTTTCAAAGCATTCCTGATTGTACGGGAAGAGCTAGCTTATCACCCCTGCAAAAGTGCACAGCAGCAATGCGAATGCTAACATACGGTGTGGCTGCAGATGCCGTTGATGAGTATTTGCGAATCGCTGAGACCACAACGACAACTTGTGTGAAAAGATTTGTACGAGCTGTCATTGATGCATTTGGCGACGTGTATTTACGGAGGCCAAATAGTGCTGATCTCGAACGCTTGTTGCATGAGGGGCAACAAAGAGGTTTTCCGGGTATGTTAGGGAGTATCGATTGCATGCATTGGGAATGGAAAAACTGCCCTGAAGCATGGCGTGGGCAATATGCTAGAGGGGATCATAAAACGCCCACCATTATGCTTGAAGCTGTTGCTTCACAAGGTTTGTGGATATGGCATGCCTTTTTTGGGGTCCCAGGTACATTAAATGACATAAATGTGTTAGATCGGTCCCCAGTATTCCATGAGGTGTTAGAAGGAAAAGCACCCACAATTTCCTATTCTGTTAATGGACGAAATTATAATTTGGAATATTATCTCACTGATGGTATATATCCCAATTGGGCCACATTCGTCAAGTCAATCCCATTACCCCAAGGACCGAAGCACAAATTGTTCGCTAAGAAGCAAGAGGCAGCCAGAAAAGACGTGGAGAGAGCATTTGGGGTGCTCCAAGCACGATTTGCAATAATTCATGGCCCATCACGCATGTGGTGTAAAGATATAATCGGGGAAATAATAAGAGCATGCATAATTATGCACAACATGATAGTGGAAGATGAGCGTCATTCATACATCCGGCATTTTGATTATACAGATACTGATGTCAACTTTAGTGTCTCTATGCCTGCAGTCTCAAATAATCGTCTCCTGGAGTATGAAGAGTATCTTCGCAATCATACAAGAATTCGTAATCGCTCTACAAATAATCACCTTCAATCAGATTTGATAGAAGAGATATGGGCTCGGTTTGGAGATGAGGAAAATGCTGTTTAATTTACATTTATGTCTTTATATTGTTCCATTTAAAATTTTAGATCTAAGTTTTTTTACTTTATTTATGTGTCCTATTTGAATATTGTGCTAGTTCATCGTATTTTATTTTGATTGTATGAATAATTATTGAGTACTAGATTCTTTCTATTCCATCCTCAATATCAAAATGTATTCATAAATTAGTAATAAATTTTTTATGAATTAATTGTATATATTTCGTCTAAATTAAAAAAGAAGAATAGTATTATTTTATTTACTTGCAACGTGGATAAAAAGGTATTTAAAAATTGTTTTTTAATGCATTAAAAAAAATTTAGGCCTCATATGCAATTGCAATTTAATTGCACCAATGTAGGTACAATGAAAGTAAAGTGAGTTGGCTTGCAAAAATGGTGTTGTGTCAAAAAAATCACAAATGCAATTGCAAATGCAATTGCACCAATGGAGATGCTCTTATGACATAGCATTTATTTGCAAATGCAATTGCACCCGGCAGGCTAATCTGGCCATGCTCGCCAAGTGCGGTTGGCGTCTTCTTCAGGAAAAGGAGAATGTTTGGCAGCAGCTCCTCCTCTCGAAGTACGGCGGCCAAAGACCCGGATTGGAGGTCCTGCGGAAAAAACAGGGAAGTTCCTTCACCTGGAATAGCTTTGTGAAAGCTGCTGATCTCCTTAAACAAGGATGTGCGTGGAATATTAGCAATGGGAAAAGAACTAAGTTTTGGAATGATTTGTGGATTTTACAGGTGCCTCTAAAGGAGCTGGCGACTAGTGCTTTACCGGAGGGCGCGGAGGAAGCTAAAGTGGCTGATTTTGTTCGTGAGGATGGTAGCTGGCGCATGGAAATGTTCTCCGGGCTCCTTCCGCCGGACGTCTGCAGCAAGATTACAAGTGTAGCTGTTGATAGCCTGTCTCAGAATGAGGATACTCTCTTCTGGGCTCCGGCTGCTGACGGCAGATTCTCTACGAAGTCGGCATATGCTTTGCTCACTAAGCATGACCAGCAGGCTGAAGACGTGATCTGGAGGGCGATTTGGCGACTCCCTGTTCCGGAGCGGGTTCGAGTCTTTTGTTGGCTGGCAGTGCAGGGGAAGATTGCTACGAATACCATCCGTTTTCAAAGGAAAGTGGCAACGTCACCTTGCTGTTTGCGGTGCACAGGCCACCCGGAGACGGTGTTACACATAGTGAGAGATTGTACTCCAGCACTTTTCTTCTGGTCCAGACTTGTTCCGCAACAAAAGCAGCATGAGTTCTTCAGTGCTAGCCATGATACTTGGTTTCGCAGTAACCTGTTCAGCAAAGAGTCCACCGGCTCGGGCATTGGTTGGCCGGGGTTCTTCAGCATGGCCATTTGGCTGTTATGGAAAAATCGAACAACCGCTGCCTTCAAAGGGGTAAGTGCGGCACTTTCAGCTCCATCTCTTATGCACTCCATCCTCACCAAGAGCAAACTGTGGAATGAATCTTGGCATGCTCCGGATTTGTTCATCAACCATAAGAAGCAGCATTCTGATCGAGTGGTGGCAGCAATTAGATGGAAACCACCTAATGAGGGCTGGGTTTTGGTCAACACAGACGGTGCCTCGAACGGCAACCCAGGCCCGGCAGGTGCTGGGGGAATCATTCGAGACTCGCTAGGCAACTGGCTGGGTGGCTTCGTCGCCAATATAGGCACGGCTTCGGCGGCTTTAGCGGAACTCTGGGCTATTTTCTATGGGTTAGAGTTGGCTTGGAAACTCGGCTATCGAGTAGTGAAGCTTGAGTCTGATTCTCAGTTGGCTATTCAGCTAATTCAGGAGAGGCATGATCACATTCATCCTTATGCAACACTTCTGAACCGTATTCGTAGAAAGATTGGACAGGATTGGTTGATGAGTCTGGCTCATACATACCGAGAAGGGAATAGAGTCGCGGACTGGCTCTCGAAGCACAGTCTCGTCTATCCCTACGGTATGCATGAGCTGGCTAATCCTCCATCGGGTGTTATTTCGATTCTGCAGGATGACATTAGAGGTGTTACTTTTGAGCGCCGAGTTGTGGCTAGCTCTTCTTCTTCCACCTAACTTCTCCCTGTAACTGTTCTTGTTCTTGGCCGTGGCCTCCTTGCTATGCAAAAAAAAATATGACAATTGCATATTTGCAAGCTTGCATATAATGCAATTATGGAATGCAAGCCACATCATCTTTTTTATTATTAAATTATTAATTAATTTTATTATTTAAGTGTTTATATTTTAATAAATTAAATCAAAAAAATTAGTTGCAATTGCAAGTTAATTGCATTGATGTGGTGCAATGCAAGTAAAATGAGTTGGATTGCAAAAAAATGAAGTAACAATAAAAAAAAACAAATGCAATTGCACCAATGGAGATGCTCTAAGTAGGCAATTATCGGGAAATGGTTACACTGATGACTAGAAATAAGAGAAATAAAAACAAGAAAAGATCGAGATCGCAAAACCACAACTCCGACACACATGTTAAATTTATCATTTTCTCTATACATTAGCTGTAACTGTACTCTCAAGAGTTCTCACTAAACCTCCTATGGAATGGAGTAATTTAACGTAGCTTATTTCAAAAATTAATTAAAAAAAATCATTAAACACTAATTGAAACAAAGTATCCCTATATGGAAAAGATTTGATCAAAGAGTTTTGTATTAACTTTCTTCATTACTTCTTAAACGAGTAACAAGTATACTTATATAGGAAAATAGTTGAAAACCCTAATAATAATCCTAATACTTGAATACTACTAAACTTAATAACTAATGATAAGAATAATAGAAACTCGTGGTTCTATCAAACACCCTCGTTGGAACATTGTTCAGAGGGGAATGAACCATGTTATTCGCTTCGTTTGAACAACGATACATTTACTAAATTCAAACACAAAAACTTTTATTGCCGGAAAACAACAACAAATCATCCTTTCCGAATGACCCGCAATTTTTGGGTGGGTGATAGCTGTGTTGTGGAACACCCGAATGACCCGCACCCTATCTTTACGTGGAAAATAGTTGTTTCTCGTTTATACTAACAAATAGTCACAGACTCACAGTATTTCTTAACCGGACCATCGACTTCTAAAAGCGAAAAATAAAGAATATTTTTCGACTACTAATTTTAGTCTCTATGTAGTGTAATGTCCATTAGATATCGAGATGCAAATTATAAACTATTAATTGTATCTAAGTCGCAAAAAAAATATGAACTTTCTTCATAATTGGTTGATGAAGTAATGCAAGATTTGATACTAGTACTAGACATCTCCATAGGAGACATTAGCGGGAGGTGTCTAAATTGATGCAATCTTAATAATTTGCGAGAAATTTATTATAAATGTTAGCCATCATTCCTAATTACTAGTTGAAGAATTTCGTTTGTAGGTTAACCCACAACCCAACCGCCGTCACCCATCCCACCCAACCCGAAGTAGCGTGTGACGGTGTGAGTGAATATTGCAAGTTACAATCGTACCAACTCGTTAGTAAGCCCGGCCGGTGCATCAGTTTAACAACAAAACCCACCCAACCCGCCCATTATCCATCCACAAACAATGGTCCATTCTTTAAACTCAAACACAACAAGTTTTCTCGCCCAAAAACAACAACAACAAATCAACATTGTCTAAACGACTCCACCAGCTTGGTAACAGCAACGCGGGAAGATCCACCATCACTCATCGCCACCGCCGCACCAGCCTTCACAGCCACGACACGTTCCCGCACCGCCTTCCCCTTCTCAGATCGCGACACCATCATCATCAGCTCGACCACCTGCTTCTCTAACTCCTCCGCCTTCACAATCTGGCCTTCCGACTCTGTCAGCTCCAGAGCCACACCCATTTCCTCGACCATGAAATGCCGATTCAACCTCTGCTCCGCGTACAACGGCCACCCGATCATCGGCACGCCCGCGCAGAGCGATTCCAGGACCGAGTTCCACCCGCAGTGAGTCACGAATCCGCCCACCGACTCGTGGTTCAGCACCTCCACCTGCGGGGCCCACCGCTTCACCAGGAATCCCCTGCCCTCCGTCCTGTGCAGGAACCCGGACGGCAGGATCGAGCCGAGGTCGAACTCATCATCCTCCGTCGTTGGCCGGCCGCCGCCGATCGCAAGATTCTTCACCACCCACAGGAACCTGGCCCCGCTCCTCTCCAATCCAATCGCCACCTCTGTTATCTGAGCACGGGAGAAAACCCCTGCACTCCCGAAACAGAGAAACACAACGCTGCCCTTGGGCTGCGAGTCCAGCCAGGTCAGACACGCGTGCCGCCTACTGCAATTACGTCCTTTCCCCTCCTCCACAACCGGGCCGACGCAGTAAACCGGCGGCGGACGCCTACCAGGGGTACATTTCCCTTCGGCAATCGCTCGAATCGCCTTCCCCTCGAGCAATTCGAAGGAATTCACGATTAACCCCGCGGATCTGACCATGTTGTGGGCGGTGTCGATGAAATCGGAATAGGCCTCGCAGGACCGATCGGCCATCGCCGGAGGGATGTCCTCCGACGGCACGGGCGGCAGCCCGGGGACGGGGACTGGAGAATCGACGACGCCCTTCACCGACGCCCCGTGGGTTACGGGGAAGTGGAGAAACTGTGCCAAGTCACACGCGCAGCTGGTGAAGTAGAAGTAGAAGGGGATTCCGAGCTCGTCGGCGACTCGGACGGCGGCGTTGCAGAAGAAATCGAGGACCAGGGCTTTCACACGCTTGGACTTGGAGAGGTCGGAGAGCGAGCCGCGGAGGTGGGGGTTTTGGAGCAGGGGAAGCCGGTAGAACAGGGCGGGGATGGCGGTGGCGAAATCGCCGCCGACAGAGTACGTGGAAGGGGAAAGCAGAGGGAGGCGGAGGAATGTGATGGAGGCGTTGTGGTCCGCCGAGACTGAATCCAGGTATGTGTCCACGGCGGGGGAGCTGGTTTCGAACGGGAGAGGGGTGATGACGACGGTGATTGTTACGGCGGCGGCGGGGTGGTGGTTGTAATGGCGGAGGAGGAGCTTGCCAAATTCGATGGTGGAGTTGACGTGGCCTCTTCCCGGAGCTGGGTAGAGGACGATTGTGTCTTCCATGGAAGGGAAGGGAGGTTTTGAGCAGAGAGTTATTGCAGAGCTTTATCTCTTGAAATGAAGCCTGGTTTGAAGTTTTTGAATTCATTTGAGCCGAGAGTTATTAATAGGAATGGTAATGCGCAAGTCCGGGCGGGTATCTCGATACTCATACCTGTCCCATAGCAGGTCGGGTTCAGGTCGGGTAATTTATTATGGGGCGCGGGTCGGGGCAGGTCGACCCAATGAATATGTAATTTATGTGAAAAACATTAAAAATATTCGTTCTTTTCATTGAAAGACCAAGAAAGAAACCATAATATGATAAAATGTAGTTAAATTATTGATGAAATTGAAGTTTTCACTTATTTACAACTTTATTATAGCTAAAATATAATGTAATAAGAGGAAAATCTTAAGTAATTTGACTAAGGTTATATGTAATTTAGGCAAGAACGGGTCGAGAATGGGGTGAGTCAGGCCAGGTCGGGTCGATTAGAGGTACCCATGCCCGCCCCGCCCCGCCTACGGGGCGGGTTTGACTCGCCCCAAAACAGGTCAAACAGGTCGGGTAAATCGGGTCAGGTCGAAATTGCCATCCCTAGTTATTAAACAGCTTATCTCTTTAAGCCGCCGTGCATCCAGAATATACTAGAGCATTGTCACGCGTTTTATTAGAAAATTAGATAACAAAAAAGAATATAATGATTATAGTTTTTTTTTACGATGTCAATTGTACGCGACGGTCTTTTTAATTTAACGGTTATTCGGATGATAACTTATTTTGAGGCAATTACAATTGTTTAGGGTAGGGGAAGATAATTCGAATCGACTAGTTTTAAATGATTCATTTTGTAAAAGGTCAAATTGTCTCGTTTTGATATTGATAACCATCCAAACGATCAAATTCATTAGTGGAAAATCATTAGAGCTAAAATTTCTAGGCGAAATTTGAAGAAGTAGTTATTTGAAATTATTCATGTAAACCATTTTCATAGTTACACACAATTTTATTATAAAATAACATGAGACCGAATGCTTAAAATCAAAAAAATTCTTAGTGTTATACTAGCTAAGGACCCAGAGTAGAGTTGGGTCGTGGTCCGGGGTGACCACCACCTAAATCCGCCACTGGGAACAGGGGACGCATTATGAGTAGTGGTGTTTGGAGTCGGGATTTGTCCTTTTTTAGAATATAAATAAATAGATATGATCAAAATTAAGAACATTCAAATAATTAATTCATACATAATAAAGAAATAACTAACTAATACAATCAATCAATTGTTGTATCTCACTAATTAACAAGAAAACTTGTCGCCGATTCGATTTCGAAACTTGTTCTCAATATAGCACAAAGTTGAAAACTTTATTTCTATACTTGCAGTTTTAACGAATATAATCAAAATTAGATTCAGAAGCAAATAAGCATATATATATATAGTGGCTTCTACAGTTCACCCGGGGTACCGCATACCTTGAGTATGAAAGTACTATCTAGACCTCGAATTAGCATGATGTTTTGACCTAATACTATACCCTAACCCTTTATGAGTGAACCCTAGTTCCTAATTATCTAAATCATAAACTATAAATCCTAAGATGGTGCATTCAATTTTTTGCCTATATTTGGACGAATCATAACCATGGATTATTGTTTCTGATTAAATTGATCTTGGGGTATGACTGTATGAGATTTAGAGAATCAAGACCTATATTTTGATCTTTAGGGAGTTAGAGTACAGTACACTATCATGTCCGAAAAAATTAGTCAATTCAAGTTCTGGATAGTGTTTTCATATTTAACGTATGCGATATCCCGGATTTCACCTTGGGTACCATAGAATTTACCGAATTAGGAAATTTTTTAGCAGGGTAGTACTTTTAGACGGTATAGACGTAGAGCTGTCAAAATGTAACCCGACCCGAGTAACCCGCCCGATCAACCCGACCCGCAACCCGCCCGCAACCCGATTTGACTAAAAGTCAATCACCCGTAACCCGTCCGACCCGCAACCTGACCAACCCGCAACCCGATCGACCCGCAACCCGATTAACCCGCAACCCGACTAACCCAAACCCGTTACCCGACCAACCCGCAGCCCGACTATAATAGAAGGAATTCGATGAAGATAAACTATAAGTTGACATTTGAAATCCTAGTTCACTAAAGTCTGATCATTACATAATTAATTATTAACTTAGTATAATAATATATATCATCAACCTATTAACGCATATAACATCATCAAATATTGATTTAGATACATCATCAACCTAATAGTCCACATAACATTATAAAATATTAGTTTAGCGTAATAAGATAATTATAAGATTTAAAATCCAAATATGATGGTCCTATCATAAAAAAGACTAATAATAATTCACAAAAGTCTGATCATAAACAAGAATACATGACTCATAATAGTTCATATTGTCTCAAGACCTCAAATATCAATAAAACATGTCCAAAAAACAAATTGACATTCCAAATGACGATCACTCTAGAAGCTTTACTTCTTCTCCATCATCCTCGTATCTTCATCATCGTCATCTGTACAATTAATCAGTGAAAAGAAAATAATAAGAAAAAGAGAACAGTTTGTTCAGTACAAATATAACAATTTGTTTTTTCTTATCCATTTGGTATCCTCGTATCCAATTACGAGTTGTCACAACAACTTCCAGAGCTGCTGGGTACGTATAACCCTCTACGCTTAACTCATTTGGATCTAGAGAGCATGAAAATGGGCATTTTTTAGCAGACCAAGGTTAACTGAAGACTAATAATGAGATTAAATTCCTAAATGCTACTAGAAGTCTAGAACAACCACTTTCATTCCATTCTAGTATGTGGCAGAGTATCTAACGAGTATGTAGGCAAATTTGGTGAGGTGTCATGCTTATTTGACATGTGGATGCATGCCAAAACTTAGGAGGCTCCTCTACAACGAAACCACACACTACTACAAGCAGAGTTTCCATTAATTGAGAGGCAGAGGATAGAGGATTTAGAGAGCTAATCAGCGATTCAACCGCTGCTGTTGATGATTGGCGACTAACATTCAGTAGCGGCCAACATGATGGATGACGTAGCTTAAAGGAGCGGCCGATGAGACTGCCGGCGGGAAGATTAGCAGATCGCCTCGGGCAGCCTGGAAGAAGATGTAGCTCATCACCCAAAGGAATGGTCGTCCTCGTCCTAACCTAGCAGCGCCGCTTAAGCGTGTTTCTATCACATAACCCTCTGGGCTATTATGTTAATAATATTCAGATTGCAGGGTTCCTATTCAGCTGCTATTGAATGACTAGCCATTAAAGAGTGATCCCACGAAGAAGAAAGGAATCCATACCTGAACTATTGAGCTCGCGAGAAGGAGATGCGAATCGGGCAGCAAGCAAGAAGGAAGTGATGGATTCTAGGGTTCGAATCGATGCACAAAAGCCGACCGCGTCGTATGGAAAATAGACGAACAAGGCAGGATGAAAGCCTCCGGCAAAGTAGATGGAATTTATTGAAAGCCGACCGCCTTCTGTCTTTCCCTTTTCCTCCTCTTCCCGGTCTGCTTTTCCCTTTGTGTCCTGAAGCGGTGGGAAACTTTGGAGCCAAATAATTTTGGGCGGTGGGAAACTTTGAGCGAAAACTGAAAATGAATTTTGGGCGGTGGGAAACTTTGGAGCCAAATAATTTTGGTTGATGCCAAAATTTGAATCAAATGAATTTTTTGACAAGATGAATTTTATCAAATTAATTACAGAAAATTTTACCGTGCTTAGTAGCATACCTCTAAGTATAGGAAACACTACCGTGACTCAAAATCATAACTAATAAGATCAACTTTTCTTATTAACACATGTTCATCAATCAGAATTCAGATCATTAGGATTTTGGGTAAAGGTTATAGAGTCATCTTATAGGGTATAAAGTCTTAATGATTTGACCACGGTTAGTCAAAATCATAACTAATATGATCAACTTTTCTTATTAACATATGTTCATGAATCAAACTAATAGGGGTTTAGGGTATAGGTTATAGAATCGACTTGTAGGGTATATGGTTAGAGTATAAGGTATTGATGGTTTGACCACGATTAGTCAAAATCATAACTAATAAGATCAAGTTTTCTTATTAATATATGTTCATGAATCAAACCATTAGGGGTTTAGGGTATAGATTATAAAGTCGACTTATAGGGTATAAGGTATTAATAGTTTAGCCATGATTAGTCAAAATCATAACTAATATGGATCAAGTTTCTTTTGTTAACATATGTTCATCAATCAAACCATTAGGGGTTTAGTGTATATGATATAGAGTCGACGTATAGGGTAATGGGTTAGGGTTAAGGTATTAAACTATTAATGGTTTAGCCAAGATTAATCAAAATCATAAATAATAAGGATCAAGTTATTTATTAACACATGTTCATGAATAAAATCATTTGGGGTTCAGGGTATATACTATTTAGAGTTTAGATTATATGTTATCGAGTAAAGTTACAATTGAACTCACAACAATTTTTCTAAATTTTATAATTTAGTTTAATACAAAAATAATATAAACAATTAACTAGCTAAATCAACAATTTCTCTATACATTTATATGAACAATTTCACTTGTTTTTAAAAAATTGAAAAACTATTTTTAAACTTTTCTCTCCAAATTTTGGGTTCCCCCAATACTACTGCCCAAAAATTTGATTCCCCCCACCTGCCGAGACCCGCCAATAATCACTAAAACGTAACGCAATATTTTGGTTCGTAAAACCCGCAACCCGAACCGCCCGACCCGCAACCCAATTGACCCGCTCCCGACTGACCCGTAACCCGATTGGCCTGCAACCCGAATGGCCCGCAGCCCGATTGACCCATAACCCGATTGACCCATAACCCGAGTAACCCGCAACATGATCGACCCACAACCCGACCAACCCGCAACCCGAATGAACCCAACCCGAACCCGCCCGATTGACACCTCTATATAGACGTATATGACAATATATGTCCACCCCAAAACAATCTT